AGCTCCCTGTCGCAGTCAATCAATAGTACTTATTTTAAAGTAGGATTCTCATTGGGATTGCAGGTAAGAATCAATTTTTTTGTTCCTTCCCACACATTTTAATAGACCTCAAAAATAGAATGGGGGGAGAACTGATAAAGAATTTTGAGTACAGAAAGCACAAATAGAATAATAATAGAATAGCAAGAATAAAAGAGGAAGTAATATGCTTTTCATTCTCAATTTAGCATTTATTTGCACCTCACCAAATGTAGAGCATTGTACGAGAAGTGGCAGACCAAAAAAGGGACAAGTGAATGGATGGCATTAGGTGTTGTGTGTCCCTCCCAGGGAGCTGACATTGTAATTAGGAAACGACACATACACAACTGAAGGTGATTAGAGCACAAGTAAATGAGAGCTGTAATAGACACAGAAATGACAATGAGTGCAAAGAAAAGAGAAAGATTAGGTTGCTGGGGTGGCCCTGGCTTCTTGCATGAGGTGATCTGGACTAGGACTCTGATGACTAAGATTTTCATAACCGTGGAAGTAGGGAGGGGCCTCCCAGGCCAAGGTAACAGCCTGAGCAAAGATATGGACAGAAAATGCCAGTGATAGGTGTGGGGATGGTGAGTAGTAGGGATATAACTGGGACAGGCTTGTAAGTGACGTTGCATAGCTCTTTGAATGCCATGCTCAAAATCTTATATAATAATAATAATAATGAAGAAATAAATGACTCTAGTTATCCGTAACAATGGAGACAATTAGATCCAGGACCAATAAAAAAGTCTAACTTCAATAACTTCAGTCCACACACACAATCATATTGGAGATTTATATTCTTTTTGTTTTTGTTTTTGTTTTTTTGAGACAGAGTCTCTCTGTCACCCATGCCGGAGTGCAGTGGTACAATCTCAGCTCACTGTGACCTCTGCGTTTCCAATGATCCTCCTGCCTTACCTTCCCAAGTAGCTGGGACTACAAGCATGCACCACTACACCTGGCTAATTTTTGTATTTTTTGTAGAGATGGGGTTTCACCATGTTGCCCAGGTTGGTTCCCAAACTCCTGAGCTCAAGTCATCTGCCCATCTTGGCCTCCCAGAGTGCTGGGATTGCAGGCATGAGCCACCATGCCTGGCCAGCAGATTTCTATTCTTGGTGCTTGGTTGATGCTTTATATTCTTCCCCTTGATTTATTATAGTCTATGGCTTTGGAAGCCAGCAAGGAGTTGGAGAAGGCCAGAGAAAAGGGCACTACTGATACGCTATTCATGAACAATTGAGAGTATAAGATAAAGTACACAATAGAAAAGTTGGGAAAATAGTGTTATAAAAAGGAAAGAGTTGACATAAAATGTTCTTTTATCTTTTGAATTTTGAGGTATCTGTTGACAATGTGGTTCATTTTTTTTTACTGCCAGTGACCTGCTTATCCAGCTTCACATTTGGATTAGTGTATGACACATACAGCATATGTTGGTACCAGCACGTGGTATGAGAATCCTAAAGTAGTGTCTGTTGTACACGTAACTGATTTATTTAAAGGAATGCTGCTGAAGGGCCAAGGAGAACATTTGCAGCTCTAGTTGTGTAAATCTAGTTCTAGGGTCATATTTTTAATTCTTAGGAGATTTGCATATATATTTTCACATACAGTAAATTTTTTTTTCCGAGGCGGTGTCTCGCTCCGTCACCCAAGCTGGAGTGCAGTGGTATGATCATGGCTCACTGCAGCCTTGACCTCCCCAGGCTCAGTTGATCTTCCTACCTCAGCCTTCCGAGTAGCTGGGACTACAGGCCAATTTTTGTATTTTTTGTAGGGATGAGATTTCACCATGTAGCCCAGGCTGGTCTCAAACTGCTGGGCCCACGTGATCTGCCTGCCTCGGCCTCCCATAGTGTTGAGTTTACAGATATGAGCCACGGCACCTGGCTGAATTCACCCTTTTAAAGTATACAATTAATTGGTGTTTACAGTATATTCACAGAGTTGTACAACCATCACTGCTAATTCCAGAATATTTTTTATTACCACCCCCCAAAAAAAACTCCATACCCATTAGCAGTCACTCCTCCTTTACCTATCACCACCCCCGCCCCATCCCTTAGTAACCACGAATTTACTGTCTCCACATTTGCCTATTCTGAACATTTTATATAAATGGAATCATACAGTTGGTAGGCTTTTGTTCTGGCTTCCTTCACTTAGCATAATCTGAGGTTTATCTATATTGCAGCATTGCATGGATGTATGTCACATTTTACTTGTCCATTCAATTAATGGACTTTTTTTTTTCATTTTAGGGGAAGGTGGTTTGATAAATAGTATGGTTATGAATTTTTTTGGTGCAGTCTAAAACATTGACAATTCAGAAATGTGTGGACGTTTTTGTAATTGTATAGTACATGCCCATGTACTGTGAGTTTTTTAGAGAGCATGTTTTATTTTTATTAGACATAGTAGGCATGTCAGCTACAGAATTTCTTATGGTAAATGATAGAGGCACACACAGGATGGTTAGGAGTGCCGAGGATGGGGGTTCAGTTGGAGAAGTCCAGTAGGAGAAGTTCATGAGGAGGTGAGGTCTAGCTGCATCTACATGGGTGACTAGGAGTTAGACAGGTAAAGGGCCAGGGATTTGAAGGCAAACAAGGTAAAGCATGAAGTCATATAGTAAATATCTTACCGGAGGATCAAGTGTGAGGGACAACCACCCCAATTTTCAGTTGTAAGCCCATCTGACACTGTTAGTAGTGCTGAGGGATCATAGCAGCATCCATCCCAGCCTGTCCAAGGCCTTCCTCCCCCGCTCACCCACAGCCATTCTCCCATTGCATCCAGTTAGCTTTCTGGACTCCATATCTGACCAGGCCACCCACTGCTGAAGCTATTTCAGAGGCTCCCCATCATTCCTACAGGCAGAAATCCCTCCCGTGGCTTCTATACCCCTCCCTGCTCCAGGGCCTCTTCCTTCAGTCCCGTCTTTGTAGCATACTCTTCACTCTCCAGTCTCCCGGTGCTTGGGCCTACCTTGAGTTCTCCCAGTTCATGCCAGGGCCAGGCTTCTTTGGCAGGGCCTTGGTATGCATTGGTTCCACTTTCTGGTTCCTCCCCTCTCCTCCTTTCTCACAGTTTTCTCTTGCTCCTGGTGAGCTTAGCCTGTGGTCAAACCTACTTCCTCTGGGTCAAATCCTCCTCCAGTGAAATCAGACTTTGGTGAGGGCTGTGTTCTCATGGCAGCACGTGGCTAAAATGATCATGGAGACATTGCTTTGGATCACATCACACTAGAAACCGATGTACAGTCTCTCATTAACACAGTATAACATAGCCTGGTTTCCCTCTGGTGTTGGAAGTTACCTCTTTTTCCTTCACTGCAGCTCAGCAAGTGAAATAGTTGGCTCGTGTTACAGGATCGTGTTTGCAAGTAAATTAAGGCGCCTATGTGGCTGGACTCTCATCTACTCAGACAGCTCGTAAGATACTGGCACAGGGAACCTGAGTCAGATTGAGAGAGCCCCAGGTTTACACATTGTGCCTCCCACTCACTTAGGGAGATGGTGGGCAGAATCCCTTGCACTGTTTTAAATTGTTCTTTGATTTTTGGCTGAATGTGAATTGTTGTACTTTATACCATATACCTCTCATTTTGTGAGGTACAGTTGTGACTTAAATCCATTTTTGTGTGGATGTCACCCTCACCCAACTACAAGCTCCACAAACTTGGGACTGTGTATATGGCTTGTAACCTCAGAGTCTAGCTCATACTAAGGCACTCACTAAATACTTGTTGAAAACTTGCTTTCCCAATTATTCTACCAAATACTAAGCTTCTGCAAAATTTGACTCATTTCATGTAAAACATGTTTTAAATTACTTAAACTCTAATAAAACATAGACACTCACGTGTGCTTTCTGCTACATGTCGGTAGATTGGAGATTACTTGTTCTCTCGGGTTAACTTGTTCTTGAGCAGATTTTGAAATAAAGCAAGTGGTTGAAAGTGTCTTACCATTTGCAATTGCTTATTTTCATTCAACTTGCAGCAACAACAGTAGCACCTCAGAAATAAATGCAAAGGCAGTTGGGATTGACCTAGCCTAGTGGGTTACATGCCTGGACTGCAGAGTCAGTCTGCCGTGTTCGTATCTTACTCCCACCTTTTACTAGGTGTGTGACCTTGAGCATATATGTAATCTCTCTGAGTCAGTATCCTCATGTGTAATAGCCAGGTACTAAGAGGCTTGTAAGGAATAAACAGTGTTGTAGAATGCATAACATACAGGGCTCAATGCTAGCGGCTATTGTTGTTGTTTCATCTTCAACCCCAAATGTCAGGATTCTGAAGAGTCTAATTTTATTATTGATTGAATTTATAAGTTAAGGACTGCTAAATGTAAGTCCCACAAAAATGCCCTTTGCTTTAAAAAGTGGAGGGTGGGCCAGGCGCGGTGGCTCAAGCCTGTAATCCCAGCACTTTGGGAGGCCGAGGCAGGTGGATCACGAGGTCAAGAGATCGAGACCATCCTGGTCAACACGGTGTAACCCCGTCTCTACTAAAAATACAAAAAATTAGCCGGGCATGGTGGTGCGTGCCTGTAATCCCAGCTACTCAGGAGGCTGAGGCAGGAGAATTGCCTGAACCCAGGAGGCGGAGGTTGCGGTGAGCCGAGATCGCGCCATTGCACTCCAGCCTGGGTAACAAGAGCGAAGCTCTGTCCCCCCCCCAAAAAAAAAAAAAAAAAGTGGAGGGTGGGGAGGGTGGCTGAAACCATTGGTTCAGACCAATAGAGGCTAGTACTTTAGCACAGTTCCACATAGTGATCACTGGGAAACCTTCACATTGAATTTGATCTCTAGGACTAGGATCCTTCAGCTTTCTAGTTAGGCCTATATCATCCTCTGATTTGTTCTGCCCGTTGCTCTTACTGAAGGTGGTTCGAGACATGGCCATAAAAAGAACCTGTCTGTAAAACTGCCAGTGAAGCCTTCTTCATGTATTCATTTCACAGACACTTTTGCACTCCTATAATGAGCCTGGCACTGTGATGAAATGCTTTTCCTCTGTCGTTTGAGTGCATCTTCTCAACAACCCTAGGAGGTAGGTACTGTTGTCACTGTTGTTCCCATGAGGCTTCAGGATGTTAAATAGCTCACTCATGGGACCGTGCTCATGGCATTTGGTACCAGGAACAAGTTCTCTTTTCTGACAATGTGCTTTGATTTGCACAGAAACGAGAGTTTTCATTTTTGCCTTGGCTGCCCGAAAGCTGGGCTACCTTTAGCCTTAGCCTGACCTTTCCTGTATTATGTTGGTGCCCCTCCCTCATGTGGCCCTTTTCTGTCTTCTCTGTTGTGTTATCTTCATTTTATTCTCTGGACTATGACTCATTCTGAACCACCCAAAATTTGGGCAAGTTTTGAAGAATGAATGAAATATTATACATTTCCTCTTGATATAATTTCATAGCTATCTCTGCATGTGAAACAGAAAAGAAGATGGGTAGATGAAAAACTTTGAAAAATGCAATGATTAAAGTAGAATATTTGATTGTAGGATTTTTTTAGGCTGAGAAAGGTCATGGACAGTAGTCAGGCTTTTCTTTTAAGTTAAGAATCTGGCTGCTAATAGAAGTCAGATACTGTATTTTAACATTTTAATTCTTATGCTAAGATGAGCTTTCAATTTTTTTCTTTGTAGATAATGATGCTTGAACAATAAGGTAAAATTTATGACCTATGTAATATGCTTTTCTTAATCAGATTTCTTTCTTTTTTCTTTTCTTTTTTTTTTTTAAGACAGAGTCTTGCTCTGTCATTCAGGCTAGAGTACGGTGGCACGGTCTTGGGTCACTGCAACCTCTGCCTCTCGGGTTCAGGTGATTCTCATGCCTCAGCCTCCTGAGTAGCTGGGATTAGAGGCATGCACTACCACGCCCAGCTAACTTTTTTATTTTTAGTAGAGATGGGGCCTCATCATGTTGGCCAGGTTAGTCTCTAACTCCTGACCTTAAGTGATGTGCCTGCCTCGGCCTCCCAAAGTGCTAGGATTACAGGCATGAGCCTCTGTGCCTGGCCTCTTACTCAGATTTCTTTATAGAATTTAGCAGAATTACTAATGTTTTAACCTTGCTGAAAATTGTTTGCCTTCGGACAGTCATTTCAAACTGAAGTATAAGAGACTTCACATTACCTTTTTAGGCAAATTTTGAAAATAACATAGTAGGATCCCTTTATTGAGTTAACTTGTACTAAAGAAATTTCAAAGGATTTTATTGCTCTTAAAGAAAAAATAATGTTTTTAATGTCCATAAGCTGATTGTGGTTGTATTCATGTATAGATCGAATGAAACTGGCTTTTCTTAGATGTCATTGGTAAATAAGATGATGCGTACAATTATTTATATCACCATGTGTGTTTGTATACAACTCTATAGTTAGGATCAGAGGGATATTCATGTAGAAATTAATTATTTTAGCAAATGCAATATATTCCCAAATAGGAATATCTGGTAGGCCCCAAACTGTAGTTGGGAACTGTAAAAAGTTGTACCCTATACTCTGTTTCTTGGTGGGCTTAGCATACCCCAAATTTATTTGGTCAGAATGAGACAAACTAGGAAGTCCCACATTATTATGAAAAAAAGAAAAGAACTATCAAAGTGTCTTGATAAAATTATAAATTACAACTTTCAAGGAATTTCTAAAACTTAATTTAGTAGATGTATACAATCAGTAGTCTGGGTGGGGTTTGTTAGATTGCATGATCTGGTTTATAATTTGATACACAGATGCTAAAAATTCAGTAATGTACAATAAAACTTTGTGTCTGCTAAGGCTGTTAGATCAGTAGAGACTTGTTAAAATACTGGAATAAATGATGTCTGTTGCACTCTCATAACACAACATGGAAATTGTGTGAAACAAATGACATTGGGAGAGCTGCTGGGGCAGGGTTCCCAGTGGAGGTGATGACCCTGCTGAGCAGTTCTGAAGGCGCAGTGGTTCATTGGGGTGTTACCAGCAAGGAGTAGCATATGCCAGGGCAGAGCCCAGAGTGTGTGGGGTGTGCTGAGCGAGTGGAATTGAATTTCAGTTCCATGTTATGGTGCATTCAGAATGACTGAAGCAGAGACTGTGAGGCGGAGGTGGCTACAGTGAGGCTGGCCAAGAGCGGGGGCCAGGTGTCTTGCCTTAGAAGTTGGACTTGGTCCTAGATCTCTGGGAAATAACCCACTGAAGAATTCTGAGGAGACATTAGATAGATGCTTCCCCTATGTCAAAATAGTTGGTTTGCTTTTATGGTTTTCAGTCATTTCTCTTTAAGGTGAAGTTGTTGAAACAAGATGCCAAAGAATTAAAGCAGCCAATTTAGCACGTTTTTACCTATGTCAGGAAAGTAAGGGGCTTGGGACTGTTTCGGTTTCCTCTTTAACATTCATTTAGTCTGGATATTGAGTAGAGCAATACATTTGAAATTGAAAAAGTCTCTAAAAAGGTATGCACCTTAACTGGCACACACTTGTCTTAGACAGTTTAAATTGTATTAATATTAATTATAGTAGTAATTACTGTAGTAGTGATTTGTTTTGTTTTTTGAGACGGAGTCTTGCTGTCACCCAAGCTGAAGTGCAGCAGCACAATCTCAGCTCACTGCATCCACCACCTCCCAGGTTCAAGAGATTCTCCTGCTTCAGCCTCCCAATTTTCTGGGACTATAGGCGCACAACACCATGTCAAGCTAATTTTTTTTTTTTTTTTTTTTTTTGATTTTTAGTAGAGACAGGGTTTCACCACGTTGGCTAGGCTGGTGTTAAACTCCTGACCTCAGGTGACCTGCCCGCCTCAGCCTCCCAAAGTGCTGGGATTACAGGCGTGAGCCACTGCACCTGGCCTGTAATAGTAATTCGAAAGAACCAGTAAGAGGTAAGGACTAGGGTATATCCCATCATTTTTAAATAATATTTTCCCATTCACTTGATTTCTCACTATACAAGCTGCTACAAGGTTTTATCAGAACAGTGGAGTGTGTAGCTAGAAATGCAGAATTCCAGGCCGGGCATGGTGGCTCACGCCTGTAATCCTAGCACTTTGGGAGGCTGAGGCAGGCAGATCATGGGGTCAAGAGATCGAGACCATCTTGGCCAACATGGTGAAAACCCATCTCTACTAAAAATACAAAAATTAGCTGGGTGTGGTGGTGCGTGCCTGTAGTCCTAGCTACTTGGGAGGCTGAGGCAGGAGAATCGCTTAAACCAGGGAGGTAGAGGTTGCAGTGAGCTGAGGTTGCGCCACTGCAGTCCAGCCTGGCGACAGAGCGAGACTCCATCTCAAAAAAAAAAAAAAAAAAAAAAGGGCAGAATTCCTACATGTTACCGAAGTGTTCAGTTACACTGTAGTGGCTCATGTTGCTTATAACCAGGAGACAGCCAGATAATGTTTACTGCAGTGATTTTATAATTTCATCCTTGTCAGTGTAACAATTATGGTTCATGTCTTTATTGCCTTCCCATTGAGGGATTCATAATACCTACTTTCCTATTAAGGTTAATGACTAAATTTGCTCTAGAGCTGTGCTCTCCACCACAGCAGTTGGCTCATTAAATGTGGCTATTTAGTTAAAATTGAATAAAATTTAAAATGCAGTTTTTCCCTTCTGTCAGCCACATGTCAAGTGTTCAACAGTCATACGCAGTTAAGTGGCTGCTATATTGGACATTTCCATTGTTGCGTAAAATTCTCTTGGACAATGCTGCTCTAATGGTTACCTTCTTATATACATTTTAGTATACTTAACAGCCATTTAATGCCAAAGTATTTACAGATTAAATGATACAATCTGATTTGAAATAACTGGGGAGAAGGGAGAATTGGAGGGGTTATGGAGGAAACAAAATTTGCCATAAGTTGATAATTGGTGAAGCTGGGTTTAGAGTTCATGGGAGCTCACTATATTGTATTCATTATATAGAAATTTTATATATATTTTAAATTTTCCACAATAAAAATGTAAACCGAAGGATTAACCAGGAACTGTGTTCCCACCAGCATCTAGAAGTAGAGGTCTGTCAACAGGCATCTGAAATCTCACCCCTACAGGCTGGCTCTAGTAGTGTAGGAAAGTTTTTAATCCTGCCACAGGACTTCTAAAGAACACATATAGTACCACATTTTCGTTTACGGTTTATTTCATTCCACCTCAAAACACCCAAGTAGTGGCACAGTCTAATGTTTGTCAAGTGTTTAAGAACTGCCCCAGTGAATCTTGTGGGTAGAATGTGCTAGATTATATTAAAGTAAAACTTCCATTGCTGCTGACATTAATTTGAGCAAATTAAAAATAGTATTCTTAATGAAGAGAATAAAGTTGATTTACTCAGTGGTTGGTTTATATTTTATTTCGCAGCCAGATAAGTCAGCTTCTGTCGCTGGCTTTTCCTGGTTAACAGCACCTGTGTCTGAAGAGAGAAAGGGCAGGGGTGGAGGGAGTAGTGGAGAAAGTCGCTGGCACCAGAGAGGCCATCAGTGAACATCATCACTGTGCACTGAAGGGCTGTTTGAAGTTGTTGAAAGAAACATGTGGGCCAGGCATGGTGGCTCACACCTGCAGTCCCAACACTTTGGGAGGCCAAGACACGTGGATTGCTTGAGCCCAGGAGTTTGAAGCCAGCCTGGGCAACATGTTGAGACCCTGTGTCTACAAAAAGTAGGAAAATTAGCAAAGCATGGTGGCATGCACCTGTGGTTCCAGCTACTTGAGAGGCTGAGATGGGAGGATTGCTTGAGCCTGGGAGTTCAAGGCTTCAGTAAGCCAAGATGGCCCCACTGCACTCCAACCTGGGCAACAGCGAGATCCTGTCTCAAAAAAAAAAAAAAAAGAAGAAGAAAAATAAAAGAAAACAAAAGAAGCATGTGAACTTTCGAACTTTGGTCTCCTACACATCTCTAACAAATGGTGATGGGGCTTTTTATGAGCAGACGGGCATATCGTAGAGGAACGGTTCAGAGCAAGGGCTTTTAGGGTCAGACTTGGGCTTGAGTGCCAGCTTCACAGTCAGCTGTGACCTGAGAAAGGGGACTAGTAAGCCCTTCCCAGCCGCTTTAGAGAATAATGGTAGAATAGTGGCCCTCACATGGCTAAGTGTGTATGGCTAATATAATAAGACAGGAAGTCTTATTGTATTAGGTATTCCCTAGCTGTATGTTTTATATCAGTTAAATGCTGATATCATGTAGAATAATGTGTAGGTATAAAGGAACGTAATGGTGCCTTTTTATTTTACAGGGTTCTTGAAGCTCTTGTGATTAACAATGGCAGGAAAATCATCACTTTTTAAAGTAATTCTCCTTGGAGATGGTGGAGTTGGGAAGAGTTCACTTATGAACAGATATGTAACTAATAAGTTTGATACCCAGCTCTTCCATACAATAGGTGTGGAATTTTTAAATAAAGATTTGGAAGTGGATGGACATTTTGTTACCATGCAGATTTGGGACACGGCAGGTCAGGAGCGATTCCGAAGCCTGAGGACGCCATTTTACAGAGGTTCTGACTGCTGCCTGCTTACTTTTAGTGTCGACGATTCACAAAGCTTCCAGAACTTAAGTAACTGGAAGAAAGAATTCATATATTACGCAGATGTGAAAGAGCCTGAGAGCTTTCCTTTTGTGATTCTGGGAAACAAGATTGACATAAGCGAACGGCAGGTGTCTACAGAAGAAGCCCAAGCTTGGTGCAGGGACAACGGCGACTATCCTTACTTCGAAACAAGTGCAAAAGATGCCACAAATGTGGCAGCAGCCTTTGAGGAAGCAGTTCGAAGAGTTCTTGCTACCGAGGATAGGTCAGATCACTTGATTCAGACAGACACAGTCAACCTTCACCGAAAGCCCAAGCCTAGCTCATCTTGCTGTTGATTGTTAGATTGCTGATGCATTCTAATCAACTCACACATATACACAAAATCAACATGGGGATGGAGAAGAGAATTAGCGTTTGCAGCAGTGTATCATCTACTAATAAAATTATATTGCTGCTTCATTAGTTGGTGGGAGAGGGGACACATCTACTCATGGAGGAATATATTTACTCAATAATGGCACCTTCCATTTATAAATTGTAACGGTTGTCAATAACGTTTCTTTAATTTAAATACGTAAGTTGCAGAGCTAATAAATGAGATGACCAAGACTTTAATGATAATTAAAATAAGAAACCTGACTATTCTAGAAGTTATACTTGGATTTTTTTTCCTGGGAAAATGGAGAACTACTTTTATATGTGTATGTTTTTATGCAATTAGCATTGTATTCTTGGTTCAGGGAAATAATTTCCTAAAGCAATAATGTTAGATATTAAAGATTAAAATCTAATGTATTTGCGATGCATTGTTAATTTACTTCTTCATTCTCTTCAAAATGATTTAACCATTTCTATTTTCATTCTACATATTAGAATTACTCTCACTAGTAATTTGTCATTTGTGTGCCATTCATGTGTCCCCACCTCCATAAATCATGTTCCATAGTCTCAGGTGGAGGGCAGGCCCCCAGAGGTACAAGAGTTACTTCATACAGTCTGTCGTACATCCAGCTAGATTCAAACTGTCTATGAATGGAAAGCTTTCCATAGATAAGAGTTCAGTTTTAAGAAAAAGGCTAACTACTGAACTTGGAGAACAGACAAATGTGCATTTGATAACTGATGTAACAATTACAATGTACTGTGTGGAAGATACAAAATTACAATTTGTTAATGGACTACTTAATATTTTTGTTACTTTCTTTACTTTTGGGAAAAGTCTCCTAGTTGAAGTTAAAACATTCCTTTTTAACAGAAGACACAGCTAACTTTATCACTCTCAGAGGAAATACTAAGAAGGCTTGTACTTTGTGAGAGTAAATGAAGACATCTTTATTTGGCCATGTATTTACTTAGTGTCTTCTCTATCATTGAATGTTGTTTAGTGATTTGTTCTCAAGGAGATTTTTTGTTCCAAAAAGACTTGCTGCAGTGATTAGATTTGATAAAGGAAATTGTGGTCTTTTGTGGATGAAGCTCATATGCTGTGTGGTTGATGAGTGTGTGATTCTGTGGAGCCTAACCAAAGCCTAGGCTGAGTGTGGATGAGACCCTCAACTGGGGACTGTTGGGGTCATCAAAGGACATGCTGGGTGAGGGGAGCTGGCTGTCATGTAGTGAGGGGGGACTTTGAAAAATTAGGTTGATATATTTCCCTGACCCCACCCATTAGAAACCAATGAGAAAACATTCTAGTAAGCTAAGCTTTTGAGTATAATGTCCTAACATAAGGGACGATTTTGCCATCTGGTAGCATTCTACAGAAAATAACAGAAGATAGTTGGAGAACAAAGCAGGTGTTAAGTGTGGCAGCAGGAGTGGTAAGAAGCAGCTGCAGAGCCTACTAGACAGAAGAAGCATAGATCATGCTCTGCAGTCTGGGGGCGGGGGCGGGGAGGGGTGCAGCGTGCGGGGTGTGGGTCCCAGTGCTTTAAGAGTTGCTCCATATGGTCTGTCATAGATCCAGCTAGGTTCAAGCTATGAATGGAAAGCCTTTTGAGAGATAGTTTTTGTTTTTTGTTTTTTTGAGGTAGAGTCTTGATCTGTTGCCCATGCTGGAGTACAGTGGCACAATCTCGGCTCACTGCAACCTCCGCCTCCCAGGTTCAAGCAATTCTCCTGCTTCAGACTTCCCGGGTAGCTGGGACTACAGGTGCATGCTGCCACACCCGGCTAATGTTTTGTATTTTAGTAGAGATGGAATTTTACTGTGTTGCCCAGGCTGGTCGAGAACTCCTGAGCCACTAGGCCCAGTTGTTTTTTTTTTGAGATAGAGTCTCACTCTGCCACCCAGGCTAGAGTGCAGTGGCATGATTTCGGCTCACTGCAATCTTTGCCTCCCGGGTTCAAGTGATTCTCCTGCCTCCGCCTCCCAAGTAGCTGGGATTACAGGCGCCCGCCACCACGCCCGGCTAATTTTTTATATTTTTGGTAGAGACGGGGTTTCACCATGTTGGCCAAGCTGGTCTTGAACTCCTGACCACAAGAGATCCACCGTGGCCTCCCTAAGTGCTGGATTACAGGTGTGAGCCACCACCTCCAGCCAGAGATACAGTTCAGTTTTAAGAAAAAAGGCAAACTACTGAACTTGGAGAAGAAACAAATGTGCACTTGATAACTGATGTAACAATTACGGTGTGCTGTGTGGAGGATACAAAATTACAATTCCATTAACGGACTACATGTTTTTGTTACTTTTCACCCTTGGAGATAGTTTCCTAGTTGAAGTTAAAAAGATTCCTACTGTTCCTTGTCTTAGAAGAAAACTTTTTTTTGTTTCTGTACAAACTTAAGTTTTCACTTTAATATGACGCCACCATGTAAGTTATCTCACAATATTCGTGTCTTGTAGAGTCATAAAGTGTTAAATAGAAAAACACACCAGTGTGGTATCCAGTGAAAGGTGGTGTCTAGAGAGTCAGTGGTTTCTGGAACTCTGGACTGTCAACCAGGAAGTGTTGAAGTTACTGAAAAGTTAAAGAGCACGGGTAACAGCATGGGCAGAGCAGAGATTGAGGTGATCTATGTCCATGACAAAGGAAGCACCCTAGGAAGCTTCCAGCTATAGCAAGAGGACAAAACTCAGTGTACATTTTATCTGGATCACTTTTGGAGCACTAAAGCAGAACCAACTTTGTGCTAGCATACATGTGCTCAGGAGAGCCTGATTTTAAGACTGACTTCACCCCACTGCTCTTGTGTTCCAGAACCGTCAAGGGACCTCACCTACCAGATCCAAGCTTTGCCAGCTTAGCTTTCCTCGTGATCATCTCCTATCTGTCAGCTGTCAGTTCTACCCACATGCCCCAGTAGTCTTCTCCACACCTTCACGCCTGCAATGCTTTCCTGTGCAGCCTACCTTGGAGGTCCCCCTCAATGCTCTACTTCCCTTCCAGCTCCTTCAAAGACTCAGTCACACATGAATTTTGGCATTTTAGTAATATACTCATAGGAAGTATGTGAGTGTATTACTACCTCACCTTCACCAGCCTGGAGAAAAGGCTATTTTCAGGCTGTTGTGCAGCTGAGCCAAGTCTTCCCACTGTCACTCACCCTGCTGCTCTTGGCTGGTTGTCATCACAGCCTTCTGGATGATATGTTCATTGAGGGGGGGCCAACCGTATACAAAAAAATACGGGTTTGCTGAAATTACTCCTAGATTTCTAGATGAGTATGTAGCCTTGTCTGCTCCCAAAGCTCTGGCATTTAGTTTGAGTCAATCATCTGAGCTCTGTATAACAGGTGAAGATATCATATTAGTTTGCAGACTATCAATAGGGGAAATGGAGTGAAAACAGTTGTGGTGGGCGGCACTTTAAAAATGGTTATTAAACTACCACAGTCTTGAACAAACATCTTTATTTAAGAAATCAAATAAATAGGGTAAAGATGATGGTAGCAATTTCACAAGGATACAAGATAAAGCTTAGAATTGCTCAAAAGTTAGTCAGAATGGAACAAAATTGTTCATATGCTCCCAATTAGCAAAGGTTGTATTACTTGCTTTTCAATGGACATTTACTATTTTACAGTAAGATCTACTTACAGGAACAAAGAGACCATTCCCAGCCCCCTCTGGTGTATCATCTAAAAGTCTGAGACAAATGTTAATGTAATCCAAGCTTTTCTTTGACAACAATCCTAAAAATTGCCTTACAACTTTTTGTAAGTACTGGTATCAACAGTTTGGGGGAAAGGAAATACAAGAATATAAAGTGACAGAAACAATGAACTTCACTGTGGCCTGCAACTGCTCCCATCCTCTTATTCTACAAACATGGATCCAGGTTCTCACATTATTGCAGGATCACTATTCCTAGCCTCTGGCAGAAGCAGACATGTGACACTTAGCACTGCACAAGTGTTTCTTTGGCTTCTTGAGTAGTGCTGTGTATACTGCCTATACATTTTTATAACATCTCTAAATGTATAAATAAATTAACATTTATTATGTGCTATCACATTTCATTCCCAACTGCAGAATATTTTAGTTTTAAATATTTAGTTTTCAATCTATCTACAAAATCTTGACTATGACATTTGTTTTGAGATTGTTACATTAAGATCAACCTATCTGGGCTGGGTATGGTGGCTGACATGGGTAATCCCAGCACTTTGGGAGGCTGAGGCAGGAGAATCGCTTAGAGTCGGAAGGCAAAGGTTGCAGAGGGCAAAGCGTCATTGCACTCCAGCCTGGGCAACAGAGCGAAACTCCATCTCAAAAAAGCAAAAGATCAACCTATCTGAATTGGGCAAGTCAAAAGCTTATTCCCAATTTTTAAATAAAAATACTTATTTTTGATAACGAACTCTTTATAAATAACACTGTTCACAAGGAAATACCAATTGATACATGATATGAGACAGAATGTACGATTTTTAAATATAAAAGGAATTTCATTAGGTTTAGATCAGCTGAGACTACACAAAAGTTTTCCAGGCTGTTTAATCAAGTAACTTACAATGCACACATTCCTGAGTATACACCATTGTGGTGACATCATTTGTTTCAGAATTTCCTGCATTCAGCTTAAAAGGTGCTTCTTCCCAAGAAACTGCACTTTTCTGTCAAACGCACTTGATCGAATAGGAGAATTGGGTTCATAAAATGGATTCATTGAAAACTAGGAAAGAAGAAAGTATTAGTCAAGCAAAAAAGCTGACAAACCATAGGTCTCTGGAAGGAAATAATTTTAAAGTTTTAAATTAAAAACCATCAAAGACATTCAAAAGTCTAAAGACCACATTTAGAAGTTTCATTGAAAATGCTACATTGTTAAATACTAACATCCTCTTAAGGAAATTTTTATTTTGGTGTTTTGGTTTTGAGAAGTACCTGTGGCAAAACTAATAGCAGTATGATAAATGTTGCTTGTGTAAGTTAACATTCAGGATTTACCCTGTGTGTGAAATACTCATATTTGTTATAAATAAATGGATTAATCTGTATGGCCCTTTGGCTACATAAAGCAAAAAAGTCTGCCATAAGCTCAGAATTCAGAAAAAGCTACTCTTGTGTGGTAATCTTTTAACAATCAGGTTTTTAATACTCTCCTTTAACACAAAGCTGCTAAATGATCAGCTTCTCAGCCAAAGTAATCAGCGTATCATAACATGGGAGAGAAAATTATTAAATGGAATCACTCATGAGGAAAGGGATTGCTGATTTTTATACATTAATCACTTGACATTGTTCATCTTTATAAGAGGGCTAAATATTACCTACTACTTCTGACTAGGAGTACTGTTAAATTTTATTACTGTGCCGATATGCAAGAAATCCTGTCCAAATATAGAACTTTTAAATTATTAAAAACATACTGGCTGGGCGTGGTGGCTCATGCGTGTAATCCCAGCACTTTGGGAGGCTGAGGTGGGCGGATCACCTGAGGTCAGGAGTTCGAGACCTGCCTGGCCAACATGGTGAAACCCTGTCTCTACTAAAAGTACAAAAATTAGCTGGGTGTAGTGGCACACACCTGTAGTCCCAGCTACTTGGGAGGCTGAGGCAGGAGAATCGCTTGAACCTGGGAGGCAGAGGTTGCAGTTAGCTGAGATCATGCCACAGCATTCCAGCCTGGGTGACAGAGCAAGACTGTCTCCAAAACAAAACAAAACATACTGTTGTTAGTACTGCAGTGTAACCGTGACGTCCTATCACTATCTTATTTTTCAAGATCAAGAAATGCAAGTGGTACCATTCTTCTTGAGTGGCTAATTGATCATATAAAAATCACTTCCTGCCAGTTTGTAATCTCTATTAATTGCACTGTAACTTATTTGTAAAGTAGATGGGAACATTTTAGATTAAATTATGAAGTAATTTTCCCTTATATAGGCTGCTTCCTTGCTCTCTTTAGGGATCCCTAATAAAATCAGCTATGAGCACCAAAAGGTGAAGAATGAAACCAATTTACCTTCACAGTCATCTAATGATAACTATCATGAGTTGTGTTCCTAAATACGTATTTACTTGGCTGTGAAGACTTACCTGCAGAGGGAATTGCCAGAGATAGTTCTAATGGGGGAAAGCTAGTCTGAAAGGCAAACTGCAGCCTAAGCGAGTTAACTGCAGTTAGGCCAGTTTCCTGACAAACGTCGAATCCTTTCTTTATCATCAGATTTTAAAAATTATAGAACATACCATACCTTTATATATAAATCATAAACATCAGTAAAGAAGTTCTTTATTCCATCTTCTTGTCTTATGTCATGAAGCATAATAAATCTCATATGTGAAATAATTAAGGCATAATCTTTCTTAGAAATGAAAAACAAAAAGCAACCAGTTCATTGATACAATATTCTTCAAATCAGTCACATGCAGTATATTTGTGATGGAAAAGTTGAATACATAAACTGGGTTTAAAATTAGCTTAGTTTTATCATAAAGAGAACACAGGCTTTCAGAGTTAGAAAATTATAACATAAAGTAAAATCACCCTTGATATGGTTCAGATAAACTTTTTTTGTGCATGAGACTGTTTTAAAATTCGCTGTTAAACAAAATGTTTTCCCCCACTAAAAAAAGATAAGTAGCCCCATAAATGGAAACTTTTACATTTTCACCTGACTGTGAAGTCTACAAACTCAGAGCCTGGCATCTGTTCATGTTGTTCTAGTTTGTGAACCCAAACTTTAGTTATCTTTACTAAAACGGTAAGGATATGCCCCGCCGTGACAAATGCTGACACAAACCACTCGTTGAACTTGTCCACCGTTTTCAAGTACATGTTGTTCGACAGCCACATGTTCTCATCTACAAGGTCGAGAGCAGCATGAGCTATGAACTGGTTCAGATGACGATGGTCGTCCTAGATGACGGTGTGAACAACCACAGATTAACATTTCCATATGGCATCAAGAATGCTGACATTTCATTCTGTAAATTCTATAGATGGTTTTCTTGTGGAGATAAAAGTTTGTTTTTACTTTGTTCATTATTGTCGTGAGACTTATAAAAGATGTGTTTTCATATTCTATTTTTAAATTTGATATCTAAATCTCAAAGAACAGAAACAGCCAATTAATAAATGAAATGTGTATATAGATGATTTATAGAAAATCAATTAATGAAAATCTTTTCCAGAGAAATTTTTTTTTCTTGTTTCAAGAAGGATGTTACCAAATTCTGTAACCATTTAAACATTAAAAAAAAAAAAAAAAGGATACTATGTTTAAAAAACAAGATCCTGTGAAGAAGAGGTGCTATTCATACCAGGCCTCAAGGTCTGGGAGGAGGCCGAGAGGGCCTGGCTTCCTGCACAGCAGCACCAGGTAAGCAGTAGAGAGAGTTGAAATAGCACTTGTAACAGCCTGCCAGAGGCCTCTTTCCAGTGCATAGAGCTTATATGACAGCAGGACCTGGGAGTAGTGGGAGGTGATGCTCAGCCCAGCTGTGAGCAGTTGCCTGTGTCAACAGCAGGACACAGTCCTGTCAGAGCAGGGAGTGTCCTTTCCCTGGGCTGAAATGGCTTCAGTGAACAGAAGGTGGGACTGTCTGACCATAATGCAAAGAGGGAATTCACAACTTGGAATTCAGTCTTACTCCAATGTAATTGTTTCTTTGAAAATACATTTTTTGGCCAGGCATGGTGGCTCACACCTGTAATCCTAGCAATTTGGGAGGCCAAGGTGGGCGGATCACCTGAGGTCAGGGGTTTGAAACCAGCCTGGCCAATGTGGTGAAACCCCATTATTTATTTATTTATTTTTTTGTGAAACCCCATATTGGCCAGGCCGGTCTCAAAAAATACAAAATTAGCTAGGTGTGATGGCAGATGCCTGTAATCCCAGCTACTCAGGAGGCTGAGGCAGGAGAATTGCTTGAACCCTGGAGTCGGAGGTTGCAGGAGCTGAGATCACGCTTTGCACTCCAGACTGGGGGACGAAAGCAAAACCGTCTCTCAAAAACAAAAACACATTTTTCAAAGAATACCTCTGTTACGGGTTGAAGCGTTTCCTCTCCAAAGTAATTTTGGAGTGTTTCCTCTCCAAAATTTGAAGTCCTAAGTGACACTATCTCAGAATGTGGCCTTATTTGGAAAGAGGGTTGTTGCAGATGCGGTTAGTTAAGATGACGTCACAGAGGAGTAGGGTGGGCCCCTAATCCAACGGACTGGGGTATTTAGAAAAAAGGAACATTTAGAGATGCACACAGGGAGAAAAATGCCACATGAAGACTGGAGTTATACTGTCACAAGCTAAGGAATTCCTGGTAGAGAGGCCTGGACAGATCCTTGCCTTGGTGCCTTCATAGGGAGCATGGCCTCACTGACACCTTGATTTCAGACAGTGCCCTCAGAACTGAGACAATAAATTTGCTGTCCTAAGCCACTCAGTTTTTGTTACTTTGTTACAACAGCCACAGGAAACCGAGACAGTCTTCTTGCCAAGGAGGCTGTTCCCATGCCTGGGCTGGAGGGTGGCCCGTTGCCCTGGAATCCCTGGCACAGTTAAAGCATGTTTTACTTCACTCATGTTGCCATGACAAAGCTAAGTTGAGTCCTTAGAGAAATGGATGTTTTTGTGTCTGGCTCACAGCAGTGTTTTCTTTGACGGTGATGATCAATTCTGAAGGATTAGAGCAAACTGAAACGCTTTAAGAAGGTAAGTGGTAGCAGGAGAAAGAACTAAAACCAAGTTGTGCAACCAAATATTTTTGTGTATGCTTTGTCCACCACAAGACCAGTGGAGTGCACAGAACTTATATACAAGTAGCTGTATCCCACAAAGCAATACTGGTACAGAGGTACCTCAAAACAAGTTTTAATAAGTAGTGTTCTCATAATATGAGAAAATAATGTCACAATACCACCTCGTAGATAATCCCTTAAACAAATGCCTATCTTATTTTGATGGCAAGCCCTGAATAGTTGAAAAGTATCATACATTATGCATTACAATGAACTTAAAACATCAATTCCTTAAAGGACATTAAAGACAATTTTTGGAGGTTGGGAGAAACATAGCAAACTTGTCAGCAATTTATTAGGAACAGAAATTGGAAAGGACTGGGCTCTTTTCATGTCAAAACTCTATGGGTCTGGGCCGGGTGCAGTGGCTCATGCCTGCAATCCCAACACTTTGGGAGGCAGAGGGTGGGCAGACCACCTGAGGTCAGGAGTTCAAGACCAGCCTGGCCAACGTGGCAAAACCCCGTCTCTCTCAAAAATTAGCCTGGCATGGTGGTGCACACCTGTAATCCCAGCTACTTGGGAGGCTGAGGCAGGATAATTGCTTGAATCAGGGAGGCGGAGGTTGCAGTGAGCTGAGATCACGCCACTGCACTCCAGCCTGGGTGACAGAGCAAGACTCTGTCTCAAAAAAAAAAAAAAAGATCCAAATGGTTTTATTTGGGATGGTAATTTAAAAAAATATATATGGCATATTTCCTTGTATCAGAAAAAAAAAAAAAATCTACAGGTCTAAATGGCAGTATGTTCTCAAGCCAAGCTTGGTTTTTGGAACCATTTTTGACAAGAAAGTCGGTGGCATCACCTCTGGTGCTGCTCTTGAACTTCCTGTGCACAGCCAAGGCGTCACTGGGGACGGGAGCAGCCTTCTGCGGCACTTCCTTAACCCAGCCAGGAAGTGCCGCAGAAGGCTGCTGAAGCGAGGTACTGCAGACCCAGTGGCAGCAGGAGACGGGGGGAAGTAAGGGTCTTTTTTAACCCAGTAGGTCTTGATGAAAAACGTGATTCATGGAAACAGCCTGGACTTTCATGGCATTTCAAGGCAGCAACCTGCTACAGGTGAACTATGTTTTTATGTGCTTAAGCAGCAGTAATTCATGGTGGTGACATAGTGAACTGAGTATGCTGGGAAAGCCTGAGCATCATGCTAGCCTGTGCGCTGAATTAAAGGATGAATAAACAACTCCAAGGACATTCCCTGGCTGGATTCTATCAGTCTGTGGGACTCGAGAGCAAGCCTCATCTTATTGTGCTGGATTTCAGTTACCTCGGATCTGTCCAGATCTTCCAGTTCTAAAACCATATTATACTATATCATTACAATAGCATAAAAATTCTTATGGAATTTGAGGTCTTATACGTACTTTGGATTCGGCCTTCCCAGCTGGCAAAAACTCCATTTCAAAAACTGGATTATCATGGTGGCCAACAATTACAAAGTAGAAGCTCCCAGACATGGTCTTCAATATATGGCTCCTAATGAAGTGAAAAATAGTACATATTTTTAGTAGTCAATATTGAAATTCAAAAATAACTAATGGAAAGTGTAGAATTCTTCTTTTGTTTAACGTAAACCTGACATTGTAGAGGAAGATGCCATTAAGCTTGGCACGGTTTCCAGTATATTAGTGAAGATACACAGCTTCCAGAATAAACAAATTACATATCTGTAATATGTCCTGTAGAATCCAATGTATTTTCATGAGGAAACTGGAAGAACTCTAACATGAAATCACAAAGATAACATTCTCATAATCTGAAAGTATGCTATCTTCAGCTCAAGGGGCCCTGAGCGTCTGGAGAAGCAAGCTGGGCTTCACTTGGACTGGACCAGTTAGTACCAGCACTGACACCAAGAAGGATTAACAGAGGGTGGTGGTAACTTAAGGACAACAGAGAGTAGTGAGAAGACCAAGGAAGTAATTAGCTTGCCTTAGAAATTTCCAGGAGGCATCCATTAGGGGAAGCTAAAACCAACTCTACGTCATGTCACTTACCTAGAAAGGAGAGACACTGTACCAATGATCTGCAGACTGCCTAAGCTGTATCTGTCTTCTTTCTACCTGAAGTATGTGTGCTCTAAATGTAAGTCTTTGCAAATCGGAAAGCCTATGATATGCCTCTTCATACACTAATTTATAAGAAAGGAAGAGTTTTGTATTCTAGAAAAGATGGTAGAAATAATCCATAAAGGAAGATTCTGAGGTACTGAGAGATCTTGGATATAAGTTTAACACGTTGGGCCAGGTGCACTGGCTCACGCCTGTAATCCCAGCACTTTGGAGGGCTGACGTGGGCAGATTGCTTGAGCCCAGGAGTTCAAGACCAGCCTGGGCAACATGGTGAAACCCTATCTCTACAAGAAATACAAAAATTAGCCAGGCGTGGTGGTGTGTGACTGTAGTCCCAGCTACTTGGGAGGCTGAGAGGCTGATAACGGGAGGATCACCTACCTGAGCCCAGGGAGGTCAAAGCGGCAGTGAGCTGAGATCACACCACTGCACTCCAGCCTAACTGACAAAATGAAACCCTGTCTCAAAAAAAAAAAAAAAAGTTCAACAGATTGGCAAAAGAAAGAAAACTATGAGAAACTGGGAGAAAAATGTAAGAGATTCCATGGCTTTTAGCAGAGATAACTGAAATCTAGATGAATGATGGATGAGTGGGGCTATGGATGGATTTAGGGGCAAGGTAATCTCACCATGTGTGTTTTTCACACAAGGGCTTTGGAGTCAAACAAAGTTAGGCTGAAGTCTAGCTCTGCTAACTTACTGGCAGTGTGACCACAGGCAGTCCTTAACTTCCTAATGTCAGTTTTTTCATCTGTGAAATAGTGATAACACTGTGTAGCACCTTATGGTGCACTTATGAGGATCACACAAACTAATGCATGTAAAGTAACCAGCACAGTGTCTGACTCACAGTACGTGCTCAATTAATGTTACCTAGAATAACATGGAAAACTGCATGCACACTGAGATGTGGTGACTAGTAACTTCTCCACACGGAGTGGAAATCAAGTAAACCAGGAGTTACAGTCAATCTCCTGGAACATACATCTGAGGTGTGTTAGAAGCCAAGACTTATCAAGTATCATTGGGCCTTCTGCTGATTCACACAGAACACACAATGAAATCAGAAGAAATCTGATATGTACTTGCTAATGAATGACACATTTTGCAAAGGAAATCAAGGCACAGCTGGCACTTTTAAGTCTAGAATTGGAAGACTGAGTGTGGAAGAAAAGGCAGATAGTAGACCCTTGGCATGATGAAGTAGGATTTAAAATGCTTTTTGGGGGGGGGGGTGGGGGGGGGGGGGACTATAGACTGCAGGCCAAATCTAGCCTTGCCCATCCTCTTGCGACCATCCAAGGCTGTGCTCAGGCCTCAGTGGCAGAGTTAAGCACCTGTGACAGAGATCAGCTGTCCCACAAAGCCAACAATATTTACTATCTGGTCCTTTAAAGAAAATGTTTGCCCCTGTTTTAGGGTAAAGGTGAGAAAAAGATCCAAACAGAAAAAGTAGATAACAAAGACAAGCAGGAATGAGACAAAAGCTATGCAAAACTAGAAGAACTGGCAATAATTCTCCAGAGAAAGTAAAGGCAAGGATGGGGAGTTGAAATTTGAACAAAGTAAACAATGATATCATGAATTCTTGCTGGACTAGATTTCAGAGCTGGAGTTTGCCAAGGGAAGGGCTTCTTACTTTCTTCAGCACATTTAAGCAGCAGCAGCAGCAACAGCCACACACACACACACACACACACACAGCAGCAGCAGCAGCAGAAGGAAATACATGTACATATATATATAAGGGGGATAACTTGGATCCCCACACTCAACCCTATATGGAAAGCCACGAATGGGCATGCAGCATAGTGCTAAGTCAGTGGGAAGACCGAAAGGGAACTCAAAAGATCGACTGCATGAGGGTGCTGTTACTAGCTACCCAGCTGGGCAGAAGATGAGACAGAGCTTTCTTTATATACATTCCGTGCTTGACTTGAGCTGTAATTACTTGATTTTGTAAACAGCTGAAGAAGCAAGAAGGGCTGTAGCTTTTCATGCAATTCTGCCAAGGAAAAACTGACAGGTTAAGTGGAAGAATTGAAAACCCTGGGAGAAAATGACCCCACTGTCTCAGGAGGGAAACAGCTGTAATCACTCAGCAAATACTTGAGGGTGTTGGGCAAAGGTGAGACACACACTAGGATTCTGCACTGTCCAATCTATGGAACTTGCTGGAGGAAATGTTCTACATATGTGCTGTCCAGTATGGGAGCTAGAGAGCATTAGAAATGTGGCTAGTGTGACTGAAGAACTGAATTTTAATTTAATTTTAATTAAACATAAATAGCCACATGTAGCTAGTGGCTACAGTACTAGACAGCGCAGGTCTAGATCAATGATTCCAAACTAGTGACACGATCTTAGCTCACTGCAACCTCTGCCTCCTGGGTTCAGGAGATTCTCCTGCCTCAGCCTCCCGAGTAGCTGGCAGTACAGGCATGCACCACCATGCCCGGCTAATTTTTGTATTTTTAGTAGAGACGGGGGTTTCACCGTGTTGGCCAGGCAGGTCTCGAACTCCTGACCTCAAGTGATCTGCCCACCTTGGCCTTCCAAAGTGCTGGGATGACAGGCGTGAGCCACCATGCCTGGCCTGATTCCAAACATTTTATAGAAGTTCTGTTGAATTCCTCCACCTTCCCTTCACTCACAAAACAAGTATTACTTAGAATTCCAATATATAATACAAAAAAAGCAATGGCCATGACTGAAGTACCTGCGTTGGCATGAGTATGTACGTATGGTCTGCTTGATTTTCCCACCGCCTTTGAAGCATCTCCAAGGAGGGCTTGGCCCAGAGGTGTTGAGGAGGCAGCTACATAGAATTTGGGAACAGATTAAACTGCAAAATTGAGGACAAGAGGAGACTCCAGGCTGGTTTCCAAATGTCTAGCTGAAGTGAACAAGCAAAATAGTGGCCCCTCTCTGAAGACGTCTACATCCTAATCTCTGGTACTTGTGAGTATGTTAGGGCTCATGGCAAAGAGGAATTAAGGTTGCTTATCAGCTGACCTTAAGATAGTAAGACTGTCCTGGATGTCTTCCCAATGTCATGACAAGGGCCTTAAAAGTAGAAGAGGGACGCAAAGGAGGAAAGTCAGGGGGAAGTGACGGAAGAATGGTCATAGCAATGTGATGTTGACAGCTTTGAAAATGAAGGAAGGGGCCACAGCCAAGGAAGGCAGGAGGCCTGTAGAAGCTGGAAAGTACAAGGAAACTGATTCCTGTTTGGACCCTCACTTGTGGTGGAAACAGCAGCTATCCTCGGTGGCTAGGGAAACCTGGGTTTTGAGAGGGAGAAGACTAAAGAAATCAACTTGGTGATTCGAAGCTCACTGACTAGCTTAAATTTAAAGAGACCACATATAAGATGTAAGAAGTAGCACACTAGCAATGTTCATAAAAATGGGACCAGAAATCAGCTAACATCAGAAGGAGGCCTACAATGAGTTGAAGTGTGTGACATATATATTTTTTTAAAAAAAGGCTTTTTAGGCTAAGATCAGGAAAAAGGGAGAAGGGTCAACTGCTTCAAGTACTTGGTACACAGTGAAATAATGGAGGATGCTGATCTACTTAATTTCCATTTTCTCTGTTAAAATAAATGATGTTTCAAACAGCAAGCATGGAAGAAACAATGTTAGGCAGGCTGCGAACCTCAAGACAGGTATATTAAGAAAACATCTAGACATTTCAATAAATCCAAGCTGTCAGGTCCTAGTAAATTATATACCTTGAATTAACAAATGTGATTGCATAACTTCTGATCAGTGACATTTGAGAAATTGCAAGAAAAGTGCCATATTATCCACTAGGTTAAATGCTATTTCTGTTTTCAGAAACAGTTGAAAAAGGCTTATCTCCTAGTTTATAATAGGGTACATTCAGAGCGACTAGAACACCAACAGAAACATGTATTAAATGCTTATTTTCAGTCAGATGCCATGCCAGGTACTTTTATTTATATTAACTCACTTAATGTGAATCCTTAGATAAAAACATAATTATTCATTCACATACTCCTTATTGTACTGAGAACAAGTCATGCCAAACTTACATTTTTTGTTTCTGAAGGGAGACACAGCAGGTAAACAGAAAGTTATTTTCTGAAATATTTTGTTATCTATCTAAGAACAAACTGGAGACCTGGAGGCTGGTTGAAAATACACAATCCTGCTAGAATGGTGCCCTCCACAAGAGCAGATACACCATTCGTCTCATTCACTGTGGTATCCCTAGAGCTACAACAGTGTCCGGTACCCAAAAAGCACTTATTGTTTGCTGAATAAGGGATGGCTCATAGCTGACTTGAGGGTCAATACTTGGAGAACATTGTGTGGTCCATGTCAATTTATGGCACAGGGTCTCTAGGAAGGCTTTGAGGTTGATCTTAACCTAGTCTAGCTCAGTATTTGAATTAATAACTTGAATGAAGACAACTTATCACATTCAAAGATAACACCAAGGACAGCTAATTTATTAGAAGGCAAAAGTTAGGATTCAAAAAGATCTCCATGGCTAGGAGAGTTAGGTGAAATTAACAAGATAGAAGTTAAGAGGATAAGAAAGAAAGCCCTGTAATTGGGCTTAAAAATCAACTGTATGACAACAGGACAAGGGAAAGTGGCTTAAGAACAGTTCATCTACATCAACCCAAAAGTTTTAACTTACTGCAAGCTCAATAAGAGGCAAAAGTCTGATAGGTTTGTCAAAAAAGCTAATGTAATTCTGGGTGGCATTAAGAGCAAGGTTGGGGAGAATGCTGACGTCCTCTTCAATAACATTATCATCTTTGGGGAAGGTACTCGGTTCTGGGAATCATATTGTAAAACGATCAATAACTGTTATGGGGAGGGGAGGGCAGGATCTAGGCTAGGAAATGCTCTGGAAAGGAGACGAGCAACTGAAGGAACTGAGGAGGTTTAAATGGGGTGGGGGGACTTTTTGGGGGTGGAAACTGAACAAGGTATAGCACAGTACTATCTTTAAATACAATAAGCTATCTAATGAAAAAGGAACTTGGCTGGGAATGGCAAATGAGTTTCCTCTCATGAGTGAATTCTAATCAACTGGTAGTGACTGCCAGGAACTCATGCTGAAGAAGATTCTGAGACTAAGTGTGGTCAGCAGGAAAGAATGCTGTGATCAGTTATCCACGTCTGCTATGGATTTGGGGAAGTACAGTGCCTGCAGGAGGGCCAAGTATTTGCTGACTCTGGACTACACAGACTTATTCCAAACTGTTCCAATAGAACAAATCCAGGGCTGCTCATTGGAAGTCACTGGGAAACTAGAAACTAAGGAGTGGCTGGAACACCACCAGTGCCACAGTGGGCGGATGCTCAATGGACTTGGAAGTCCCTTCTCTTAAGTTGCAGGCAAATGCAAGATAAAACTCATGGACTCCGGTTCCAAAGACATCAATTTTTATAGTACACCTCTTTACAGCCTCTATAGAAGAGCTTCTAGAAAAACTGCCCTGTGCTCCTGACAGCAGTGGTTTCAGCTGTTCCATAGACCTGGGGTCATGAGACTAAATTGGTGTGGCATGGGACATGTCTATTGCAATGAGGAGGGGCAGTATGAATAATACTGATAGGTCTCTAATGTGACATTTTTCCTATTAATATTATAAGCAATTCTCCCAGCCTTAGAAGTTATGCTCGTCTTTGGAGAACACTTTATCTAATTATATTCATGTATTCAACTGTGGGACCAAAGGTGGGGGTGGGGGTGGGAGTGGAAGTGAGGGGGTCTTCAGGAACTTTAAAAAAAAGCAGCAGACAAGTGATTCTACTTAACAACATATCAACATCTTTTTAGAACACTGTTTTCATCATTGCATTATTCCACTCAAAAGCCTTGATGTGTCCCAGCTACAGGATCATAATGGATTCCCATATTGCTCCACACCTTTTCTCAGCCCTATTGTTCCACTTCTGCTACAGTTGACTCGTTTATGTTTTCTACCAAATTCACTTTGACTGTATCTACTTCAGAGCTACTATCATTTCTCTCTTCATGCTTGGAATGTTCTCCTTGATTCTACCTGCAATCTATACCCATTCTTTAAAATCCAACTAAGCCTCTCCTCCTCAATTATTTCCAACAAAAAACTACAGGTTCTCCACCTCCTATGAAGTCCTGTCACTCTTACTGCCTCTTAAATACTTAAATTTTTCACAGCCAGAGATCAAAACTCATTGTACTCATCTTCCATGCTGTACGCAAAGCTGACATTGATCCAATTTTGTCCTCACAGGTCTTATAAGGCTTATATTCCCAGTATACAACTCTGGAGTCAGGCTAGATTCCTCACTGCCTCCATGAGGGTCCTGGCTTTTTTTTTTTTTTTTTTAAAGGATTACTTTGCTCATTTTTCCCCCTTCCTGCGATGTTCTCCTTTTTGCTCACCACCCGAGTCCTACCCAGCAAGGCCATGATAAAAGTCACGCTTTTTCCAGAGATGATCTGGATCACTTCCGTCTTCAACCACCTCCCCTTTAAACTCTTTATCCAATCTACAGTGTATCTTAGTTCTTGTTCAATTCTCTGGCTGTAACATTTTCATTATTGCTTCTGAGAGGTTTGGTTCCTTTTCTTTCTAATGACATTTAAGCATCACGAGGACTGTCTCACCTTTCCTCACAGCACACAACAGTGGGTATTCTAAAACGTTTACCTCTGTGGATCTCAAACTGGAGCGATCTTGCTTCCGAGAAACATCTGGCAATGTCTGAGGACATTTTTGGTTGTCCCATTTTGGGGAGAAGGTCCTACTGACAAAATAGAGACCAAGGATACAGCTAAACCTACAATGTACAGGACAGCCTCCCAAAACAAATACACTGCCGCCGTTAAGAAACCCTGGGTTAACTGAATGACCCAGTGAGCCCCAAAAGCAAAGCTCCCGAGAGGGCGGATGAGCCGGCAGAAGACTGGCAGGTCCCGCCCGGCCACCCCTAGGAGGGATGGAGGTACAGGACAGACATCTGCGTCACGCAGGGCCGAGGAAGTCCTCCAGGGACTCAAAACGCCCGCCCCCCCGACCCCCACCCGCTCCGTCCCCTACCTGCAGAAGAGGCCGACAACGGAAACGCAATGTCAGTTCCCGCGGCAGAGACCCGCGCGCCGAAGCCGCAGCCGGGATTCCCGGAGCAGTTCTCGCGATACCCTGGGATATGCTCTCGCGAGATGTAGGTGGAGCTTCCGGCCGGTGCTGGGCAACCGAGCGCATGCGCCCTAACTCTCCAGACTAGGAAGGCTGTACTTCGCAGGTCTCCGGGAGTTGCTGGTTGGGATGTGAGGTGATCCTGCCTCGCCGCCTTCAGTCCCTAGTCTCCGGGTCCCCGCCCTCCAGCCACCTTTGAGTCGTGCCTGGGTCACGGTCCTCATCCATGCCTCAGAACCGCGAAGAAAGGAAGCTCGTGTGTTTGCTAGAAAACCTAGTTGGGAGAGCGGGGCAGGGAGTGTTCATCACCTTCGTTCCTCCCGACCCCCCGGGACAGAGGCAGGACTCTGAGGGCAGGGATTCCCCCTCGTCTTGGCCCTACAGCCCGGGCTGGGCATTAAACTCGGGCCACGGCGGGGCGAGCGAGGCGGGCTCAGGAGAAAGCTGATGTCTGATGATGGCTCAGGTAGACACACCTGCCCCTTCTCGGGGCACGCGAAAATGAAGTCTTGTTTGTGTTCGTTAAAACTCCTTTCCCCGCTGGGCCTCTTATGGCTTCCCCGTAGGCCACTGGTCTGTTTTCAGACATTCTCCTTCCCTCTGCCCCGAAGGTAACCTGTAATCATTTTGTCTTCCAGTCCAACATGCTCCCCGTGGCTGATGTGTTGAGTCAAGATGAACTGCGCAAAAAACTATACCAGACGTTTAAGGATCGGGGTATACTGGACACACTCAAGGTATAAGATTTAGGTGTATCTGTGTCGTAACTTTTACAAGTGTAACCTGTAACAGGTAGTTCACATTTAAATTCAATCAAGGTTTGGGTTTTAATCTTAAGATACATAGATTGTATTGGTGAATTAACGTTTTTATATTCCTGAATAACTATCCTGAAATATTACAGTCTCTTGAAAACGTTTGAGAAAATGTTGAGTTTGAGTTGTCTTCAAGGAGCATATGCAAATAATTAATTGAAAATAGGAGCAGGAAATACTAAAATGTATTATATAAATAAGATTAGGCTTGTATTGTAGGCTTACAGTTTCCTAAATTAATAAGTGGGTTTGTAATACATTTGGATGAATGACATTGACACCATATAGAAAATACTAGTGTACTGCTTAATAATAGTTTGGGGAATGAAAACTTTCATCTTTAAACTATATTGAAATATGTGAATATTTAATTTGGGCAGCAAATATCTATTAGTATACTTTATATTTCGATTAACAGCCGGGAATAGGATTAGCTGAACCTGCTTTCATTGCAATATGCATTTCAAAAGCATATTTTACATTTAAAATATGTAGATAGATTCTGTGTGTATATCTTTTTTTAATTTATGTGGTGAGCATTTCCCTGTTTCCTTAAAAGTTTCTTGAAATCCTCATTTTCAGTGGCAACAGGCTTATCTTTGGATATTTTTGTAATATATGTAGCAGTCCCCTGTTGTTGAGTATTTTGGTTATATTTCTCCAATACTCCACAGAGGTGTGATGAGGTGGCAGAATTTTTTCCTGTACTTAATATCCCAATCGTAAGCTGCTGAAATGGGCTTCTAGGGATGTGAAATTATGAGTCTGCAAGCAGGTCTGGCTAACCACCAGTTTCACTTGGAAGCTGAGGAAGGAAAGCTTCTTCTAGAACCCACTGGGTTTCTACCCCGCTTGTCTTGCAGGATAAAACAAAGTGCACTGGGGAAGGTTCCTAACTTCTGGCCATGGATCTAGAACCATTATGGAAATAAAAGGAAGGTTTCCAATGAATGTAACACATTTGTGTATATCTCTAGTGAAACAATCATGCTGAAATTTCTTTCTCTTGTGTTTCTTTTTTATTTGTATTTTTGCACTAGACGCAACTTCGAAACCAGCTAATTCATGAGCTGATGCACCCTGTATTGAGTGGAGAACTGCAACCTCGGTCCATTTCAGTGGAAGGCAGCTCCCTCTTAATAGGCGCCTCTAACTCTTTAGTGGCAGATCACTTACAAAGATGTGGCTATGAATATTCACTTTCTGTTTTCTTTCCAGAAAGTGGTTTGGCAAAAGAAAAGGTAAAGTCTTTTCTGTTTTTGAATTTTTTTATTAGCAGGTTCTTCCTATGCTGCTGACTGTAAAGTGCTCCATGATAGCTAAGTGCTCCTTGACTAGGTCCATTTCTCGTTCCTCTTTGAATTCACATCGCACCTGCACATAATATATTTGTTAAGTTGATACTAAATTTGAAATTAATTTCTTGCTCATTCAGTCTTATGTTAAATAGTGATATATAGAATCTCTAAATGTTTCAGACCTGTAATTGATCTCTCCTCCTTGTTGTCTGCCAACCTGCTGAATGTCTACAGTAAGGTTGGCACTGTGATAGGCAGGCTGCAGATGTTTTGTGCGTTGCAGTTGAGGAACCAGACTCTGGACAGGTGAATTAATTTGCCCAAGGTCAATTATCTCTTAAGTGACAGTAAAGGGTGGTAAATCTAGATCTCTAATGAGCTTTCTTTCCTGCACTAGTTTTTTCCGATGTTTCTCTGCTTTGTAATTAAGTGAGAAATACGTAATTTAAAATGTTGTTCTCAAATATTAAGACTTGGTTTATTTTTTACTACTTCTCTGATGATTTTAACTATTATTTCTTCCCCATTACTGTTGAACATTAGTCCTACTTCATTATTTCAAGGCAGATACAGCAAACTTTCCCTGTGGATATATGTGTGTGTTTTTTAATAGACTTTATTTTTTCAGAGCAGTTTTAGGTTCACAGCAAAGTTTAGTGGGAAGGACAGAGAATTCCCATATACCTGCTGCCCCTACACACTCACAGCCTCTCCTACTGTCAACATCTTACATCAAGGTGGTACATTTACTATTATCGATAAGCCTACCCTGACATACCATTATCACCCAAAGTCCACAGTTTACAGTGGAGGTTACAGTGAGCTGAGATCGCACTACTGCACTCCAGCTTGGGTGACAGAGCGAGACTGTCTCAAAAATAAATTTCACTCTCGGCGTTCATGTTCTTACTTTCTTTGTGTTTTCTATAAGTTTCATATTTCAAAGTTTTAAGGACACAAGAAGCTTAGTATAGCATTTGAATGAAAACTTAAATCTGCATTTCATCATAAGCAACAAAATTTTATTTATCAACATTAGGAAATTTTTTTGAGACAGGGTCTTGCTCTGTCACCCAGGCTGGAGTATGATGGCACAATCTTGGCTCACTGCAGCTTCTGCCTCCTGGGTTTAAGCAATTCTCCTGCCTCAGCCTCCTAAGTAGCTGGGATTACAGGCACCTGCCACCACACCCAGCTAATTTTTGTATTTTTAGTAGAGATAGGGTTTCACCACGTTGGCCAGGCTGGTCTTGAATCCTGACCCGAGGTGATCTGCCCGTCTCAACTTCCCAAAGAGCTGGAATTACAAGCGTGAGCCATCGTGCCTGGCCTGGAATTCATTTTGTGATACATCATTGTCTAACTTTGTAATCACTTCATACTTTTGATTATTGTATAATAGTCAATTATGTAATTATATAGCAGGAATTAATCCCATTCATACAACTTAAGTTTTTAATGTAAAATGCCCATGCAGAATATATTCTTTAAAGGAAAACCAATTGAAAACAAATCATATCAGTGTAGATATGACAAATCTATGCAGAGTAGACATAGTAAATGGTATATACTGTAGGACAAATATATTTTAGTAGCTACCCAAAATGTCCGTTTAAAAATATTTTAAGTACATTTTAGTGATGGTTGTAAGGACAGTAAAAATTCAGTTTATTTACATTTTTAAAAAATGAATACAAAAAATTGTAATTGAATGACCCAGGAACTCAGTCATGTATTCATTGGTTCGTCTGATATTTCAGTGTCATCTGTAAGGCGTTAAACATTTCTGTTAGGCCTATCATCTTTGATGCAAAGTACTTAGAAGTTAATTACATGATAAAGATATTTTTTTCTTTTTACCTTGGTATGTTTATAGTAATTTAACAGTGTAAGAAAGAGCTTTAATTTTTCTTATTAGCATAGTTATAATCTTATTTAATCTGAAGGATGTTTCTTAATCTCATATTCAGAAACATACTCTAATTTATTTAAACATTGATATAGAAATATGTCTAATTAGTAACCTTTTTTTCTTAAGATATTTACTATGCAGGATCTATTACAACTCATTAAAATCAACCCTACTTCCAGTCTCTACAAATCACTGGTAAGGTTGCTTAGTTTCTGTAATCTACTTTGCTTTGTTAATTATAATTGAATAGCTGAATAAAGGTAAAATATTTTCTTTTAACAGGTTTCAGGACCTGATAAGGACAACCAAAAAGGTAGGAGCCGTCATCTTTATAGAGAACAACAACATTTTTCTATGTACTTTTTCCTCTGAAAGGATGAAGCTAATTTTTAGGGAGAAGAGTAAGAAAATTAATTTAAATTATTTGATTTCTGCAGGTCACTTCCACCATATTTTCATTTTTGTAATAACTTTTAGATGTTCAGATAAAACTGCGGACAGTATCAAAGGCCTTACAGACAGGCTGAAAGATACTATTAGTAAAAATACCCACTGTTGGGAACATTTCCGCAGGGAAAAAAAAAAACTCAAAAAACTAATAACTTCTAGGCCAAGTT